AAAACGGGAATTTGGGGGAAAAACGGGAATTTGGGGAAAAAACACAGGAATTTGGTGGAAAATCCTGGGAATTTGGGAAAAAACGCCGGGAATTTGGGGGAAAAAACTCGGGAATTTGGGAAAAAACCTGGGAATTTGGGGAAAATCCCGGGAATTTGGGGAAAAAATGGGAATTTTGGGGAAAAATCTCAGGAATTTGGGTAAAACTCCGGGAATTTGAGGAAAACCCCCGGGATTTTTGGGGCTGAAACCCCCGGGATTTTTTGGGTTAAAATCCCAGAATCTGAGGGACAAAAACTCCGGGGATTTTTGAGGTGAAATCCCGGAATTTGGGGTTAAAACTCTGGAATTTTGGCAATAAAACCCTGGAATTTCGGTCCTAAAACTCCAAAATTTGGATCCAAACCCGGGAATTTGGGGTTAAACCCCCGGAATTTGGGGCTGAAACTCTGGAATTTTTCGGGCGCCATTTTGGGGTCATTTTGGGGGGATTTGGGCACCCGAAAACTCCAAAATTTGGGCCAAAATCCCCGAATTTGGGGGCAAAATCCTGGAATTTTGGGTAAAACCCTGGAATTTTGGGTCAAAAATCCCGGAATTTGGGGTCAAAATCCCTGGAATTTCACCCCTAAAACTCCAAAATTTGGGCCAAAATCCCTGAATTTCGGGCTAAAATCAGTCCCGGAATTTTGGGTCAAAACCCCTGGAATTTCGGGCTAAAACCCTGGAATTTTGGGTCAAAATCCTGGAATTTTGGGTAAAACCCCGGAATTTTGTGTCAAAATCCTGGAATTTTGTGTCAAAATCCTGGAATTTTGGGTAAAACCCCGGAATTTTGGGTCAAAATCCTGGAATTTTGGGTAAAACCCCGGAATTTTGGGTCAAAATCCTGGAATTTCGGGCTAAAACCCTGGAATTTTGGGTCAAAATCCTGGAATTTTGGGTCCAAACCCCCGGAATTTCCCCCCTAACCCCCCCAAATCCCCGCCCCTCCCCCCGGCAATTCCCGATGTGGGGG